GAATATTACTCAGACGTTAAAAGGAACTCATTTGAGTCAGTTCTGATGAGGTGGATGAACCTAGAGCCTACTATACAGAATGAATTAAGTCAGAAAGAGAAAGATAAATACCGTATTCTAATGCATATATATGGAATCTAGAAAAATGGTACTGATGAATTCATTTGCAGGGCAGCAACAGAGAAACAGAAATAGAGAATAGACTCATGGACTTGGGGAGAGGGGAGGAGAGGGTGAGATGTAGGGAAAGAGTAACATGGAGACTTACATCACCATGTGTAAAATAGACAGGTACGGGGATTCGCTGTGTGGCTCAGGAAACTCACACAGGGGCTCTGTACCAACCTAGAGGGGTGGGATGGGGAGGGAGGTGGGAGGGAGGTTCAAAAGGGAGGGGGTATATGTATACCCACGGCTGATTCATGCTGAGGTTTGACAGAAAAACAACAAAATTCTGTAAAGCAATTATCCTTCAGTTAAAAAACAAATTAGTTTTTAAAAAAAGGGTGATGGCTACAGAAAGAAGAATGTAACAAGTCAAAGGGTCCAAGAAAGGAACTTAATGGTGGCCTCAAGGAAGTTACCTTGTTCCTCTGTGCCCCCATTTCCTCATCTGTAGTTAACTGCACCAATCTCATAGGGTTTTGCTACCTTTAAATAAAATATTACATTTAATCAAAGAATGAGACATGCTTAGAATGGTGCCTAGAATATATAAGCTCAATGAATAACTATTGCTGTTCGGTGGTTATCGGTATTTGCTGTCTTCTTGTTACTACTATGATTGCTATTAATGAGTAAGGGGGGAAACAGATGAATCCAGGGAAGGAAAAAGATGAGATGGAGAGAGCTGGGTGGGTGGATAGAGCAACAAAGTGATGGATGAGGTTGGTGGATAAACAGCAGGAGGAAAGGAAGAAAGAAATGACAGAAGGAACAGAAGTTTAATAAGGAAGTGGATGAGTGAATCTAGGGATGGTTGGCAGCATGGAAGAGAAATTCTGGAAGGAAAGGAGGCGAATATATGAATTTATAGAGAGAAAATGGACGGGTAGAGAGTTGAAAGGGTGGAAACATGAGTGCATGCGTTGGTGGGTGGACGAGGTGAGTGCGGGTCTTTTCCTCGCAGCCCTGTCCCTTCTGCAGCCTCCTTCCCCATCTGTAAATGGCACCTCTGTTCTCTCAATACATCAGATGAATATCCTTTGAGCTCCCTGGCGGCTCAGAGGTAAAGAATCTGCTTGCAATGCAGGAGACACAGGTTCCATCCCTAGGTCGGGAAGATCCCCTGGAGAAGGAAATGGCACCCCACTCCAGTGTTCTTGCCTGGGAAACCCCATGGACAGAGGAGCCTCGTGGGCTACAGTCCGTGGGGTCGCAGAGAGTCGGACACGACTGAGCAACTCAACAGCAGCAGTCTTTGGCTCTTCTCTCTTTTCTCTCACCTTATGTCCAATCCACCAGGATCGTCTCCTGACTTTCCCTTCAAAATACGGAACCTGCTTCCACTCTCCACTCCCACCCTCTGAACCAAGACTTGACTGAGGCAACAGCCTTTGACCGGGTCCCAGCTCCCCAACACCTTAAGTCCTTACTGGCTATCTCCCCCAGTAATAAGGACAATCATTTTTAACACAAGCCATGTAATATTGACTCTTTGTTTAAAATTCATCCAAGATTTCACTCAAAGCAAAACAAAATCCTACTGGGGCAGGCACGATGCACGTGGCCTGGCCCCATACACCCCCCTCTGGACCCAGCTCCAAGGCTCCCCCCATGCCAGCCATGCTGGTCACTGAGGCTTTGCCTCACGGCATCAATACCCAGTCTGTTTTCCTGGAATCTGCTTTCCCAGATGCATTTATGGCCACTGCATGAATTCATTCAGGTTTATACTCAAATATCATCTCATCAAAGAGGCCTTCCTTGCTCACTGTAGATAAAATAGCACCCCGTATGTCCTTGATGATGTTTCATCTATTCTTCATAGCTGGCATTACTACCTCACTCACATAAGCGTAAGTTTTATTACTGTCTGACTCCCGATCAGGAGCTAAGCTCTTCTAGACAGGGACCATGTGTTGCTTGTCACTTACTAGGCACTAAACATTATTTATTACTCATGGGACAGATGGATGGAAAGTGAAAGGATGCTGAAGTGTCTGAATGAACTAATGAGTGGGTGATTGACTAGAAGAGTTTAATGACTGGATATGGTGGTTATATACAGGTCAGGGAGGGAAGGGGCGGAAGAAGGCAACAGGTACGATAATCAGGGTGTGGGCAAATGAATAAATACACAGATGCAGGGAAACTGGGAGATGAAGGTGTCAAGGAGAGATGGGGGAGAAGAAAAGAGATGAAATGCATCCATGAAGGTGTGTGGGCACCCTAGACAGAAAGAGCTGATGGATGGACCGGGTGGTTGGTGGGGTCGGGGGAAGAGCTGAAGAAAGTGTGTTAGACAGTGTGGACGGAGGAATTAATGGGAGACTAGAGGAAGGTGTGGGGTGAGCAAATGGGCAGGAGAAAAGAGAAGAGAAGAAAGCAAAGGTGAGAGTGGGGCGTGCGGGGCCCTGAGTGCTAGGAGGAGGGGCCAGACTCCTCCCAACCAAGAAGTGCGGCCGGGGGTCCTCGTGAACTGCTCAAGCAGAAGAGCAGATGGCGTAGATGGAGCAGCTCCTGTCTGGCCATTGCCTCCTCCCCCCCACCCCGCCACAGCACAGGCTGTGACCCCAGGCTCCCGTCTGTCCTGCCCACACGGACCTGACCACGCCTGGGGCGGGGGCCGGGGGGACAGACGGGGCAGTGGGGACATGGCAGGCCAACCTGCCCCTGGAGCTCCCGGGATGCTGTTTTGTTTGGCCGCGTTCTGCGAGTGGAGAAGGGGACGGGCTCAGTGACGCGGGATCAGCGCTCGGAGGGATCCAGGAGTCCAGCCAAGGCCTCCTGACCCCAAGGCCGTGAGGTGCCCTTGCAAGTGCCCATGACTGGCTGCAAACAGTGTCTGGAGTGGCAGGCCAGGAGACGTGCAGCTGGACGGACAGATGGCCCAACTCCCGGGTGCGGGAGCCTGGGCCAGCAGGTCCGCCCTCCCCTCTGCCGGGGACAGAGGGGGCTTGCCTTGCTGGCTGCCCGTGCCCCCCCCCCCAGTAAGCCCCACGCCTCTCTGCCCTGAGAGCCCCCAGGGAAGACATGGGGGAGCACCTGGCTGGAGGCACTGTGGGGCCCCTACTGCCTCTCAGAAGCACCATCTCCCACCCCCCACCCCAGCGCGGAGCCTTGCATTCAGTTCAGAAACCTGTGACCTACCTACAACCGGCGGCAGATGGGCCTGCCCAGGGCCCGCCAGCGCCCACAGGAGCCCCACAGCCGTGCCCGGGTGAACGGGCTGCTGGCGGGACTGGCAGGAGGCCCCAGAGGCAGAGCTGCGGCTGGGGCGCTTCCCCCGGATTCCCTGGGGTCTCCTTCCCTTTGCTGTCTCTGCAGCACACACGCACACTCACGCACACACAGCTGTGCACACGCGCATGGACACACTCATTCATGCACACACCCGCACACACAGCCCGCTGATACCTCTACGCACACATACACAGAACACACAATTACACACACACGCACACTCACACCCTCATACAAATATGCATGCATCCTCATGCCTGCACAACTCAAGCATACACATACACACATGCTCACACCTATATGCATGCACACACTCTTGCACACACACTCATGCCCTCGCGTGTACTCGCATGTACCCACATGCACGCACACTCATGGGACACAGTTCCTGTCCAATGGAGCCCAGGGCTGGATACACTAGCTTGGAGATGAACAGGTGATCCACAGGGGTGATGGAGGCCCTGATGATGAGTCAGAAGGCGGGAAGGCCAGGTGGCCAGGCTGTGTGATGCTGGGGCAGGGACGGGTGGGGGTGCTCCATGCTCAGAGCAGCAAGAGCTGTCCCAGCCTCCATCCCCCCTGGTGCCAGCCTGCACCCCACCATGTTCCCCCTCCCCACCCCCACCTCGGGCATCTGCAATCAGTGAAATGTGCCCGGCCCCGGACACTCAAATCTGGGCCCAGGAGAAGGGATGACCTGGTGAGACAAGAGCCCAGCCCTTGGGAAGGCCGGGGGAGAGAGGGAGGCCTGGGTCTCCCTCCGCCCCTCCACGGGTTGGGCTTCAGCAGCCCCAGGCTCTTGGGTCCTGACACACCTGCAGGGATCTCCAGATCCCAAGTGTGAGTCGACCACAGCTCCCTCCCCAGTCCTAGCCCATTTCTCTCCACTGCACCCTCGAGGTTGGGGAGCAGGGGATGGGGGTATCCTGTCAGCTCCTCTCCGGCCAGCTCCCATCACAGCAGTGAGGGAGGGCCTTCTGAGTCGTGCACACCCAGAGTGTGGGGTCAGGCTGCATGGGACACACTCAGGCCTCCCTGCCCCAGCCTCCCTGCCCCACTCCCCCAGGATGGGTCACTGGAAATCGTGTGAGGGGGCAGCTCCCCATGTGACTGTCATAGCCCCTCTCGAGTGCCTGCCTGGCATCAGGCTCCCTGCGCGGCTGGGACAAGGTCTCCAGCAGTGACGTCAGCCCTCCTCCTGTCCACAGGGGAAGGGTTCCAAGCTCTCTTCACCTCCACGCTGGCTCCATCCCAATGCCCAGGGGCAGCTGCGGCCAGGCCTAATTCCCAGGTCCCCGCCCAGGGGACAGGATACTGAGGTCCCCACCTCAGAGGCCAAACTGGCCATGCAGAGACCCTCGCCCCGAGGATGCTGAGCCCTACTAGGACACCCTGGAAGGTTCCCCAGCTCAGGACAGGATGGGCAGGCCCTCTGCTATCCTGAGCTACCTGGCCGACCTCTGCGTTTCCCTAGGTCCCCCACCCTCTCCGCTACACCTGCTGCACCCACGGGCTTCTCTGTGAGGGAGGGGGGCCAGCACCACCCCCCGGCTCTCCAGACACCCCCGGGCCCCTCCTCCATTCTTCCGGCTCACCTTGAGGGAGTAGGCCAGGGCGATGAAGCCCAGGCAGCAGAAGTTGAGGTAGACGAAGTTGAAGATGGACCACAGGTAGTAGTCATTCACCTCCGTGGTGTCTGGGTAGACTTCGATGACGGTTGTGGGGTTCGTCATGGTCTTCTTCTCCGCCAGGTGCTTGCAGGCCGGGGGGGCGCCGGCCACCCGCATGCTGTCTGTCTTGCTGCTCTTGGATTCCATGGGGAACAGGGTGGGCGCCATGGGGGGCGAGGCCGAGGGCTCGGGGGCCGGGGCCGCCGGAGCCTGCAGAGCTGGGGGCTTGGACACGCAGGCGAAGCAGCCCTTGGGCGAACCTGCTGGGGGCCTTGGGATCCAGAAGGCCCCGTCCAGGGGGACTCGGGCTTCCTGGGCGCCGTCCGTGGTGCTGGCCGGGGCTCCCAGCGGGGCTGGGCACTGGCCGGGGCCCTGGGGCTGCAGGGAGAGGGAGATGAAGAATGAGCTGGGTCCTGATCACCCTATGGGCCCACCTTGGCCCCTACAGACTCCCCCTGCAGTCTCATAAACAGCTCCAGGGACGTGGAAATCCCACAGGGGTAGCCAGCTGCTGGCCAACCACCTGCCTTCCCCACCCCCACCCATGCCAAAGCCCTCCGAGCAGCCTTGGCAGGGACGGCGGGGGCTTCCCGTCACTTCGCCATCTGCACACAAACATTCACCCACTGACACACAACAGCAACCCCCCCCACACCCCCCCCAGCACCCCGACTAACAGGCTCTTGCAGTAAACCCAGCAAGCAGCGCCCAGACACGGCGCACACACAGGGCACGCACGCCCACAATGACACGGCCTCCGCCAGGCTCTGCCCGGCACCTGCACGCTGGCACACGCTGACGCTTGGGCCACAAACGCCAGCACCACCGCCCTGCTCTCCAGACACCAGCACACCCCATGCGCTCGGAGAGGCCGCCAGGTAAATAAGCCCGCACTGTGACCCTCACACACACCGCGCCACAGGCCCCGACACAGTCGCAGAAGGATGAACCCGCTGCCCGCGGGGGCTCCGAACTCCCGTGCATCGCCCCGGCCCCCCGACCCGGCCCGGAGCGGCGCTGGGACCCCAAGCGCGCGCACTCGCCGGGCGCCAGGAGCAGACCCACAGCGACACTCTGCGAAACGAGCCCTCTCAGACCACGCGCCCCTCCCCGCGCCGCCCCGGGGGTCGGGCAGCCGGGACCCGCGGCGCCCGCCCCCGCCCGGTCCCCGCGGCCCCCAGCCCGGCCCAGGTCTGCCGCAGCCGCCGGGAAGGCGCGCGCTCACCTACTGGCGACTCCTTGGCGGCCGGGCCCGACCCTGCGCTCGCTGCGCGCGTCCTTCCGCCGTCCCGCTGGTGGCTGGCTGTCCCGCCGCTCCGCGTCCCGGCGGCCCGACCTCGGCGCGGGGAGCGCGCGGGGCGGCGCGGGGAGGGGCGCGCACTGGCAGCGCCGCTCCTCAGCCGCCTGCGCGCCCTCCGCAGCGCCAGGACGGGCCGGAGGCTGCAGCCCAAGCCTGACTCACGGCGGCGGCGGCGGCGGCGGGCGCAGCCACCTCCCCGCCTCCTCCCGCCGGTGGGGTGGGCGCTGAGGGCGCCGGCCGGAAGCCGCGACCCTCCCGGGCGGGCAGAGCTGGGCAGGGATGGGCTGTCCCGCAGCGCCCAGCCCCGGTGCCCGCGCCACCCGCCTGCGTCTCCCGAACCCCACCCCGCTCCCTGCCTCCTCCCTCTGGCTGAGCCTCCAGCCCCTCGCTGAGCTCCCCACCTGTCTCCTGGGGAGAGCCCCTTCCCCTTCTGTGTTCCCCGCTGCCTCCCCCGCCGCGGCTCCCAGGACCCTTCCCCTCTGTGCTGCCCCTTCTGTGCCCGGTGGGTGAGTTTCCTGCTCCATCGGCTCTCTCTGCGTCTCAGCCTTTGCCCCCATACACCTAGTCCCAGGCCTGGAGGGTGTCTGGGCCTCCCCAAGCCCTCTGCCCAGAGAGCCCAGGGGCCCCCAGCCCGTCCTCACCAAGTCAGTCCTCACGTCTAGCCAGACTCCTGTCTGCACGCCTGTCCCCACAGGAACCCGCTCCTATCCAAGACCCCACCAGGGCCCTAGTTCCTCGTGAGTCTCTGCCTCCCAGGCCTGGGGCCTCCAACTGCAGCCCTTCCCTGAGCAGGGTGCCCCCCGCCAGGCCACCACCTGAGCCCCTGCCCTGCACAGTCTTGCCCCTGACCCAGGCCCAGGACTCCGTCCTTCCTGAGCCCACCCCGACCGAGTTCCTGCCCCCGCTTTCCCCCAGATCTGAACTCACGCTCCCCAAACCCAGAGCCCCCGCGTGAGCCCAGGTAACGTGGCTCCCTCATGAAGTCTAGTCGTGGAGACTGCGACCCCTCAGCTGATGGGCCTCTGCCCCTGCGGCCGGGTGTCCTTCCCCAGGCCCTGTGACACTTGCGCCCTGGAGCTCAGGCCCCCCACCTGCCCAAGCCGCGCTGCGGGCTCTATCGCCCTCACCCCCCTCCCAGGTCCCCAGCCCCGTCTCCCCCGCCTCCCCCCCATTCTCTCTGACACTTGCCCCACATGGCTTGCCCTTCCTGTAGTCCTCCCAACAACACCCTCGCCCTGGGGAAGCCCCGGCCCCCTCCTCACTGTGCAGGGGCCTCCAGAGTGGTCCTCCTCTCAGCAGCGGCCCCTCCCTCCACCCCCTCCCCATGAAGCCGCCCTCTGGGTGGCAGCCTGGCCCCTCCCTCCAGCCCCTGTTCCCCCCACAGGCTGCGCTCAAGCCCTTCCTCCTGTGAAGGCTGCTCCTGCTCTGACCGGCTCAACCCACCTCCCTTGTCTCCAGGAACCCCTCTCCTCCCAGCCTGGGTGCTTCCCAGGGGCCCCTCCTCCTTGGACTCCTGGCCCGCCTGTGCCAGGCCCTCTGAAGCCCCTTCTCTCGAGAACCCCTGCACACATTGAGCCCAAGCCCTTGTCTGCTGCCTCCTCCCTGGCCAGGCCCCCTCTCCTGTCCAGGCCCTCCTCTCCCCTGCTCAGCCCCCACTCCTCTGGACCCTGGCCTGGCCTTGTTCGGGGCTGATCAGGAACCCAGGAAGAGCTGGCTTTAAAGATGCTGCTAAAACCCCCTTCTCGGGGGCGGGGTCCGGGAGCAACGCCCCGCCCCTGCCAGACCACACCCTTTCCAAGGGCCTGGCCCAGGGGTGGCCAGATCCGTCTCAGGTGGTGCCTGACCTAAGGGGCCCGTTGAGCCTGTGTGTGGCCTGGGAACCTGGCCTCCCTGGCGTGCCAGCTGGCCTCCCTGGGCCAGGCGCTGCCCAGGGCTGTGCAGGCTGCAAGGCTGACGGGCTGGCCTGCCCGAGTCCAGCTGGTCCTCGGGCGTGGGAGAGGGTGCCAGGCCCACAGGGGTCTGCTCCTGGTCTCTGGGTGGAGCCGGGCTGCCTCTCCCCACTCCAACCACCCTGTCCCCACCCCAGCCCCCTGCCAGGGATGCGTCATCCCACAGGGCCTTCACCGCAGCAGCCTAGGGAAGGCGCTGGACTCAGGTCTGCCGCAGCCGCTGGGAAGGCGCGCGCTCACCTACTGGCCACTCCTTGGCGGCCGGGCCCGACCCTGCGCTCGCTGGGTGTCCTCCAGCCAGGGCGTGTCCACCGGAGCCCGCTGGGCTGGCGCAGAGCAGGGCCAAGCCAGCCAGAGTGAGGGCCAGCGTTGGCAGTGGAACGCCAGGCCCTGTGCTGGGCTCCTCCTGGCGTCCGTCAGGCCCACGGCCAGGAGTACCCAGCTGTCACCTACCTTCCCGGGATAGAGACTCGAGGCTCAGGGTCGGGTCACAGAAGCTGGGTCCGGGCCCAGAGTCAGACTCCAGGGGCCAGAGAAGCCCGGCCAGTTGGGTGGAGCCGACTCCGGGTAGGACACCGGTGCCCTGCCTGCCTGGGTTAGGAGCTGGGGGCTCAGCCTGTGCTAATAACCCATGTGGCATTCGGGGGTCTCGTCCCTGTGTCCCAGAGGCGAGGACACGCGGCCCCCATCCCGCAGACTCGACAGCCTTCTGCTGAGAGTCTCAGTGAGCGAGGCAGGCGGAGGAGGGGGCCCCTGCCAGGCTGGGGGGGTGGGAGGCTTTGAGGACAGAGAGGACCCGCACGGTCAAGGGGCACGGGCCGTGAGGGCCGGACGGCCTCCGCCCTGCAGGCTCCCAGGTCACTGGCACTGATGACCGTCTCCCAGGAGCCCCGCAGCCCTGCAGAGATCTGCCCGCTCCTGGCTCGAATGTCAGGCGCAGAGAACACGGGGCAGGTGCTCACGGTCCCTCCTACAATTCTGGAAGAGGCAGGTCCTGCTAGGGCCCGGCTCTGGGGTGTGGTCTCCAGGCTCCCTGGGGCCAGGCCGGTGACAGCTACAGCTCTGCCGGCTGAGAACAAAGGTCACATCAGACCCTGACCCCTGCGGGAGGGTGGGCTCCAAGCAGGGTCCAGAGTTACCCATCCCAGAGGCATCTGCCCCACCACCAAGCATTCAGAAACTCCTATTCATCTCTCAAAACCTCCCGGCTCTGCAACTGCTCTGACCGACCCCCACCCCCTCTAGCAAACAGGCCAGATCAGCCTGAGGGGATGCCTGTGTTGGATCCCTGGACCCTGCCACCCCAGGGCCCCAGGCTGGCCTGCTCCAGCACTGGCAGGGCTTAGTCACGGAGACGCTGCTCCCCTGGGCTGGCCAGGAGGCCCAGGAGGGAGGCAGGCTGCCCAGGCGCCACCTGCCCCATCAGGCTCCTCCTAAGGCCCGTCAGGGGTGCAGGGGGCTCGGGGAACGCTGGGGGCCCCGCTGCTGGTGGCACAGTTGCTACGGAAGCGTGGCAGGCACTCGCCTGGGCCTGAAAACTGTGTTTTGGGGCAGGCGCTCCCAAGAGAGGCCCCGAGCCAGGCCCACCTCACTGGTCGCTGCGCTGGACGCCCCATGAGCTAGCACCTCCAGCAGCAGAATCTCAGCCACGAGGCTGGGAAGGAGGCGAAGTGTCCGGGTCGGGCCTTGCCTGGGCCCTGGGCGCCCCAGGCTGAGCCTGCCCCCCCTCTGAGGCGAGAGCAGGGCCGCTTGCTCGCGCCAGCTCCTTGCCCACCCCCACAGGGAGCGTGCCCTCCCCACCAGGCACAAAAGACGCCGACACACGGGCAGAGGCCTGAACAATTTTATTTTCATGCCAACTTTGGCTCCCAGCCACTCAAGAAAGGGGCGGTCACAGAGAAGGCTGGCCCCAGTGCCCTCCCCTCTGATGCCACCCCGCCTGGGGCCAGAGAATGCCCTGGACACCCTCCGCGATGAGGCAAGCCCCGGCACGGCCCCGCAAGACTGGCCCCTGCCACCCTTGCCAGCTCGTCCTCAGGCCTCAGCGGGCCCCTCCCTCACGGTGTCCAGGACAAACAGGCAGGTGGGGGCCCGAGCTGCGGGCGGAGCGACCGGGAGGGCAGCTGGCCCGAGGGAACCACCCAGGGCGGGGGTCCCGGGACACACAGCCACCTAACAGGCTGTGTCTTCCAAGTCAGAGAGAGGACTCTGCACCGGGGCTGCCTGCTGGCTCTGCCCCAGGCCGCCTCTCCATCAGACAGACAGACAGACAGACAAGCAAGCAACCTTTCAGACACCAGGGAAGGGAAACCACAGAGTGGAACTGCAGCCTGACGGGCCTCGGGAGAACCGGGCTGTGGTGCGAGCGTGAGTGCAGTGTGAGCGTGAGTGTGTGTGTGTGTCTGTGTGTGTGGCAGGGGGGCCTCCTCCTCCGGACTCTACCAGCGGGCGGGGGCCAGCTAGAGCCGGGCGGCCTCGGCCAAGCCCACGCGGTTCTGGTCCCGGTCGAACACGGTGTAGTAGCGCCCAATGAAGACGTCCCCCAGGATCCAGAGCGGCCCGCCGGGCGGGGGGATGTCCATGCCCATGAAGCCGCTCAGGCACACGGTCGTCCCGGCCTGTGACACCTGCGACGGCCAGCACCGGTCAGCACCGGTCACCACCCGGGTCGCGCCCCGGGGCGTCCGCGCCCCACGCCCCGCGGTCTCTGCTCACCTTGAGCGTGTAGTCCTCCGGGGACAGCGTGTAGTCCTCACCCCCCAGTTTCACGGTGACCTGGGGCAGGCTAGACACCTTCTCGCAGGGGATCATGTACTGCAGGGGGGGTTAGAGGGGAGCCGGTGCACGGGGGCCCGGCGGTGGGGGGGCCCGCCCCGCCCCCCAGCCCTGCCAGCGCTCACCTCGCCCTGCATCAGCGGCACGGCCCCGATGGCCTTCTGCAGCTCCCGCACCTCCTCCACGGGGCCCACGATCAGGGACGTGCCCGTGTCCACGATGGCTTCACAGCCGCCCTTGCACACGGTCAGACTGCCGCCCACGTCCAGCCTGCGGGGAGGGCGCGGGCCTGAGTCCCCTCCCAGGGCCCCTGGAGCCCCTGCCCGCCCCTGCAGGACTGGGTTGTGAGCAGAGGTGGGGGTGCGCAGGGGGCCGGAGGAGCCAAGGACAGGTCGCCCAAGGGAGCGGCGTGCAGGGGGGGCCACTGGCCGCACACCGGGAGCTGGCAGGAAGCGCCTAGGGCTGGCAGCACACAGGGCCCAGGCCCCCTTGGGTTGGCCCCCTGGCCCCCCACAGGCCCCTGCTGCGCGCGAGGCCATGGGCAGTGCCCCCACGAGCCACGTCCCACCCTGCGGAGCCGAAGGCGGGACCCCGCCCTGCGCTCACTGGTCCATGTGGATCTGCCAGTAGGCCTTGCGGGTGACGTTGTGGTAGGCCAGGCTGCCTCTGTAGTACTTGGAGTCGATCCCACCCAGCATCAGCTCGCCCCCAGGCTGGGCTTTCGGGTCCCTGTGGGGGAGGAGGAGGCAGTCAGATGTCCTGCCCGCCTCTGCACCAGGCGTCCAGCCTGCAGGTGGCCGGGCTGGACGGGCACAGGGGTCAGGGCTGGTGTGGGGCCCTCAGAAGGTGACCCAGGACCCTTCCTGGGTGTGCAGGGGTGGGAGGATCTGGCAGGGGGGATAGCTCCAATCTCACACCCTGGGAACCACAGGCTAAGCCCCTTCCTGACAGGAGATCCTGCCTGGGCCACAAGGGGTCCCAGTCTGCCCCCTTAGGATGGCCAGGGTTGGGCCAGCAGGCAGAGGAGGACGCAAGTGCTAGGAGCCCCGGGGCAGGGACCTCACCAGCCTGGAAGGAAAGCCAGGGGCTCCCAGGAGGAGGGCTGGAGCCACTGCGCCCACCCCAGGCCCTCTGCACCTGCCGCTCCAGGGGCTGCCCTCCGTCCAGACCACGGTAAGACTGGCTCCCGCTTCAGATCTCAGCTTCCGACCCTCCCCACCTCTTAGTCACACTCGTGGTTTCAGCATCATCTGCCCGGCTATCTCCGGCATGTGCCAAACTCATCCTCCGCCCGTTGCTGTGGCCGCCACCTCCCGTCACCTCCACCACCCACGTGGTGCCCTCCTCACCCTCAGCCCTGCCCTTGCAAGCCAGCCGCCCTGCCCCCACTTCCTGCCCGAGCCTGCGCCCGGGGAGTCAGCGAGATGGGCCATCTGTCCTGACCTCAGGCCTGGCCGAGCTCCGGGTCCCCTGCAGCCCGCCTGCCTCCCCTGGGCCCGAGGGCTCACGTGCTCCCAGCGCCTAGCAGGCGGCTTGGCCCCCAGCAGCTGCTCAGGTTTTGCCACTGACTGAGCAAGGGGCAGAGGCCAGCATCCATACAGAGGCCGGGCGAAAGGCTCCAGGCTGGAATTCCACCAGAAGAGCCCAGGATCGGACCCAGAGGGGGCACACGGGGCGTGGTGGCCAGTGACCAGGAGCAGCAGGCTGCCCGGTCCCCCCGCCCACGCCCCCCTTGCCACACCTGCACCACCGCCCGCATCGGGGGCTACCTCTCAAGACCTGCAGCACCATCCCGGGAAGAGGCCAGGGGCTGGGGGACTGAGACCCCTTTCCAAGGACCCCCTCCCCAGCACGACAGGTACCAGGTGTTGCTTCTACAACGTGGGAGCATCACCCTGGCTCTCCTGGGGGTCACCCCCATTGGAAAGCCCTGGCCCCTTGCCTCCAGAGCTCCTGGCACAGATCAGGGCTTGACGCCTGATTCCCTCTGAGCCGAAAGTGACCCCGAGGCAGGGACCAGTCTGCCCGTCACGGGGCCCAGGGATGTCAGGCAGACTGACCGGAAGGGTGCCTGGCCCAGCTCGGGCTGTCGTAGGAGGCAGGCCCAACGACCAAGATCCCGGATCCAGGGCCACCCAGCTGGGGGACCCCGGCTCGGGGACCCTGGGGAGACCCAGCCTTCGGTATGGACTGTTTGTCCGCCTGTGAGAGGGCGCCAACCCACTGGACAGTGAGGGCTGTGGCTCGGCACCTGGCAGGGGGCCACGGGGAGGGCTGGGAGGATGGAGCCCCGCCCCCACACCTGTTCAGGAAGAAGGAGAAGATGTTCTTCTCCACCAGCTTCTGCTGCATCAGATTGTCGAAGACAGGCAGCACGTTGTTGACGGAGATGCGGGGGTAGGCCATGCCCAGGATGCCGTCGAACTTGGCCGCGATGAAGACCACGCCCGGCTGCTTGATGGCCTCCCCGAAGGTCTGCCTCTGCACCGTGACACTGCCCGGGCTGGACGAGGACGGGTCACAGGGGACCTGTGGGGCACGCGGTGGGGGAAGCAGGGGTCAGTGGGTCGTGTGGACACCACGCCTGACACTGGACCCCTGGCAGCCCCTCACTCCATCCCTTCGGGCAGCCATGGCCATGAAAGCCAGCTCGGCCACTGCCCGTCGTCTGGCGCACGGGACTCGGCCCAGGAGAAAGGGCTGCTGGCGCTGCACCAGACCCGTGGGGACAGCGGGGGTGCGGGGCCCAAGCTAGGCCAGGACGGTTTCAAGGACGGATGCGGAGCCGGGAAGCAGGGGGCGCGGGCTCCTCCCGAGCTCAGGTCCTCCCACTCGCCTACCCCGCCCTCGAGGACCCTGGATCCAACCTTGGACTCAAGGTCACGCCACCCCTCCCCCAGGCCGGGGCGGAGGCCGCAGACACAAACGGGCAGGATGTGGGAAGGAGGGCTGTTTGGGGTTGACGCTGGGGGGCGGAGGAGGGGTGTGCGACATCCTGTCTCAGGCTCACAGGGAGCCTGGCAGAGGCCCCCCACTCCCACCAGGCAGACGCGGAGTGGGAGGGTGGCCCGAAGGGAGCCACGGGGCCCCTGGCCTGCCAGGCTGGCTGGAGGAAGGGTCCTCCCTGCCACCAAGGCTCGGGGCAGGCCCTGCGGCCTTCCTGGGGCTGCGGGCTGGGAGGAGACCACCTCCTGCTCTGCTCCTGCTCCCCACAGCTCCAGACCCAGACCCCTCCTGTGGCCAGGCACCAGGGGCTCCGCCCGAGCAGAGCCCACGAGGGCCCCGCCCCACTCCCCAGGGAGGCGGGCAGCCCGCAGCCCTCCCCAGATGCCGCTCAGCGTCCTGCCCGACACCCTCAGAAGGTGTCCCTGGCCAGCAGCTCTGACTGTGGGAACTGGGGCCACACCTGACCCCGGCACCCAGTGGCCCCCCACCGTCCACCAGCTCCTCTGCCTGGCTGAGTGGCCAGGAGCCTCGCCACTCATCAGTCGCTGGTCCTGGGCCTGGCACTCTTGCTCCTGCACTCCAGGGCTCTCGGCCTCTCCTTCCAGCCCTTCTGGCACCGCCCAGCGTGCACACAGGACCATGTCCCCCCGTCATGTCCCCCAGCCAAGCTCACCCAGCTGTTCCACCTCTGGGCCTCTGCTCAGCTGAGACCTTGGCTCCGTTGTTCAGTGGACCCCTGCCCAGCCCTGGGGTCGGGGGTGAATCCCCCGACACTCACCGATACAGTGTCCTGGCTCAGGTACCCTGAGAGGCTGCCCGAGCCGTAGTGGATGCTGAAGGTCGTGCCGTTCTTCACGTACGTGCTGGACTTGCCGCTGTTGTACTTGTGGTGGGTCCCTGTGCCAAGTCGGGCTGTCAGTCCGCCTGCCCAGCCCCAACTGCAGCATCAACCCTCCCAGGCCTGGACCAGCTCTGCTGGGGGGCTGCCTGCTGCAGCCTGTCGAGCAAGCCCCCGGGCGGGTGGTCCAGTCCTCGACCCCCACGGTCCCAGCCCTGAGTCGGAAGGGAGGGTAGGGACGTGGGAGGGGCCGCCGGTTGGGGGTGGCCGAGGTGGGAGCAGCAGGTGGCCCAGGAGGTCTCTGCCCCAGGATGGGAGAGGGCGGGCTGAGGCCGAATGGCCGGCCTCCAGCGCCTGGGGGGAGAGTGGGCAGGGGGGCGGGGGCGGCACTCCCCTGCCCGGGGCCCCTCCCTCGGGGTCCGCGGCAGGCCCTGAGACGGACGGACTCACAGCAGGCTATGTCCAGCAGCTTGCAGTGGATGGACGGGACCCAGAGGTTGGCGGAGCCGGTGTCGAAGACCACCGTGAAGCACTGCGGAGGCGTCCCGATGCCGATCTCCCCGTAGTACTGGGCCTGGGGGGCGGGGCCTGTCAGGGCGGGGCGCGGGGCTCCCCACGGGGACAGAGGCAGCCAGGCCAGGGGAGGGGGCCTGTCAGGGCGGGGCGCGGGGCTCCCCACGGGGACAGAGGCGGCCAGGCCAGGGGAGGGGCCCGGGGCCAGGCCTGCTGCCTCAGCCGCCCACCCCGCCGTCCCCGCCCGAGTCCTTGGTTGGGTCCAGGGCTCTGGGAGGGAAGGTCTCCTCCCCAGCATGAGGGTCAAGTGAGGGCCTGACTCTGGGCCCTCAGATCCCACAGGGCTGACCCTGGAGCGCCCCCGGGCAGAGGGGTCCGGGGGGCCCAGGGGAGGCGGCGGACGGGCAGGCCGAGTCCCTCAGCGCTGGCCACGCTGCCTTCACTGCGCTGGGCCTCAGGTTCCTCCTCTGCACACGGGGCAGCAGAAGCATCTTGGGGGGAGGCCCGGATGTGGGGTGCCGGCTCTGGTGAGCATGAAGGGGCACACGTCGGGGAACCCTGTCCTTGGCCCCTCAGAGGTCAGGGGTGCAGGCATCTGTGAGTTTGGGGTCTGTTGGGCTCTGGCCCCAGCCCCTCTGGGCATCTCTCTCCGGCCACTGACTCATGACCCAGCAGAAGTGTCTGGGCCGGGGAGGGGGGGTTGGGGGGTCGGAAAATGACTCAGCAAATCTCCACGCGCGTGGTGCGTGTGCACACGAGCATCTGTGTGTGTGCATGCTGGGGAGCAGGAATCAGGAACGGGTCAGTGAGGCCCCAGGCAGACGCCCTGCCCCCCCGCCTGATCACATGCCTGCAAGAGGCCACAGCTTCCTGGCCCGGCCCGGGCTCCAGCCGGGCAGGACAGAGGGTGCGGCTACCTGTCCTAAACCTGAGTGGGCCAGAGGCCGGATGGCAGCCAGGGGCTGGCTTCCCAAGAAGCAGGGAGTGGGGGGCGTGGAGAGGATGTCACCTGGGCAGCCCCAGACGACCTGCCCCAGCATGCTGTGTGTTCCAGAATGTTCCACCTCTGAGTTGGCTTTCCCCTCCATGAGCAGTGGGCACACGGGCCGGTCACTGACCGAAGAGGAAGGCAGGGGGCAGGGACTGGGCCGTGGTTGCCCCAGGCCTGCCAACGAGACAGGCAAGACGAGCACAGAGGTTCCAGGGCAGTGGGTGCCTCCCAGGCAGGTGAGCCCAGGTGAACCAAGCTGAGGGACCCCTGGCCCCCACCACAGCCTTGCGGGCAGGCCGTGGCCTGACTCCGGGCTCCTCCGCGCCGGGCCGGCTCCATCATGTGCTGTAGGGACTGGGGCAGTCCCGCAGGGCTGGTCACCAGGATGAAGACGCCAGCCCGGCTCTGAGCCGATGCTCGGTGGCAGGCGGGGAAGCGGACATGAGGGAGCCGCTCAGGCCGCTCCAGCCAACCCTCCTGGCACCCCTGGGGCAGGACGGGCAGCGGAGCCTGGAGCTGGGGCCAGGGAGGTCACAGCCCTCAGTCAGGAGGGTGTCGTGGACACACCCATCACAAGGGTGGCTGGGCGGAAGCCCCGCCCCACCAGGGCTGAAGCTTGCAAACCACTGGAGGCTGAGAACAGAGGATTTCACCAAAACCCACACTGCCTCAGGGAATCAGCTCCTGCCCGCAGCGCTGTGGGCAGTCAACCCACTGCCCCCGGCCCCAGGCTACCTCCCCGTCCCCCACACTCACATCCATGTAATTCCTGAGCAGCTCGGGAACTGGCTCATGCCTCACAGCTGACTCCCCGGTGGCATATTTCGAGATGGGGCCCTTGGCAATCAGGTGTTCCACGGGGCCCATCGCCTCCGACATGGTCCGGCGGATGGACGTGAACTTGTGCAGTGGGATCCTGTCAAGACGGGGCTCGGGCTCGTCAGGGCTGGCTGGCTGCACAGCCCACTGGGAGGCTCCCGCACCCACGACCAAGCTGGAGGCCCAGCATGCCTGCTCCTCTCCCACCCCCCGGCCCCAGCCACTGGGGGCTCCAACATGCACGGCTGTGCTCTCCCGTCCCTACTCTGAATGGGTCCAGGGTCAGTGGTCACCTATCACGTCTGCCCAAAGCCCTCCGTGGGGCCCCATCTGCCTGGCTCTCCCCACCCAGACCCCACAGAGATGGTCCCAGCTCACCCGTCTGACTTGGGGGGTGGCCACCTTCTGCCCGCCAGGGGGGACTTCCAGGCCACCCACTCTGAGCAGCCAGCTCTCCCTGACCACCCCCAGGCTCCTCACAGGACCCCCTCTTTCCTTCCAGTCCTCATCCCAGGCCGCACTGAACCCCGTCACTCTCTCCCCATTAAGCAGGCCACTGGAGGTCAAGGTTGACACCTGGGGCCTGGAGGTGGAGGCTGCCAGGCTGGCCACACTCCATGCGAGGCCCGGTGCCCCTGCTTGGAGGACCCTTCCCAGGAGCCCCGCCTCCGAGCACACACGCCAGCCTGGGTGGTCTGCCCAGCAGCAGGGGCAGTGTGAGGGGTCCTTCTCCACCCTCAGCTCCACAGGGGTCTGAACTTGCCCCAGGAGGTGGGACAGGAGACCACCTGAACAAGAAGAACTACCGCATGAAATGTCTTCCCAGCCTGGGGATCTACAAGTTCAAGGTCACAGTGGCTCCTCCCAGCAAGCCCAGGGCATGCTCCAGGAAGATGTGGGACTGGCTCTTGCCTAAGAAGGGACAGGCTAGGAGAGCCTGGGCTTCTTGTCTGGGGGTGGGGGAGGGGGGCACACCCTCCAGTCCCTAAGGACACAGGCGCCAGCTGTTCCACGGGGCGCGAAGATGTGGGGGCTTGGGCTCAGCTGCCCCAACCCGAGAAGCTCCAGGCTGGCGCCCCCAGTGGAAGGCCTGGAGGTGAGGCCAGGGCAGGTTCAGGCCTGCAGCTGCTCCTCACAACTGCTCCAGCTAGGGCTACTGGCCCCTAGGCCACAGCCCACGCAGGGGCTCACACAAGCCAGCTCTTTGGCAAGGCTCAGGTCTGCGGGGGGGCCCTGTCAGCTCCTGCAGCCCCGAAACCCCACCCACCTGCCCACAGGCAAAAGGCCCACAGCAGAGCTGGAAGAATGCCGGCCGAGGCCTAGCACCAGGCTCCAGGCCTGGGCAAGAGTGGGGGCAGGGCAGAAGCGGGTGGGCCCGCCTCACGCCTCTCCTGCTGGGCAAGCAGCCTGCCTGACGAGGGTGGGGGGCCCCTCCGTCTCGCTGACACAGCATGGCACAGCCCTGGACCAGCCTGACAGCCCTCGGCCTCGCTGGACCCAGTGGGGGCCCCCTGGCCTGGGGAGGGCGTGGTCCTTACTGAGGCAGCAGGTATTGGTGGGACAGAGCCCCAGCCCAGCAGTGGGAGAAGCCGCCCAGAGCCTGGTGCCAGCTGGACCACTCCCCCAGACCCATCCTGAGGCTGACTCCCTCTCGACCCTGTGGGCCTCCTGCTGTCCAGAGGGTCCTCCAACCGGCCCAGGGCCTGTGGGAAGATCTCATAGGCCGAAGAGCTGGGATGAGGCCACGCCCAGCTCACAGCTGGCAAGGGAGACCCTAGGCGCAAAAATGACTTACCGAAATTCAGGGGCCTCCGGGGCCTGTCCCTGGGTCTCCTTGTCTTCCAGCCGAGTGCGGGCTCTGAGCATACGCTCCCACCCTACCTGTGCTGGGGACGCTGAGCCGACTCCCAGTCACAGCCCTCCTGCTACCAACGGCCCCCCCGCCCCCCGGCCCACCCCATGATGGCAGGGAGGAGAAGACGCGCAGACCCCCGGGCGAGCCCTGCACCTGCAGGGCTCCCCCGCCCCGCCCGCGGGTAGGCCCAGCAGGAGGTCCCGGGGGCGGCCCAGCTGCACCCCGGCGGGCGCACAACGGTGCGCGGGCGTCCGCGGGGAGCGCGAGCTGCGTGGCTCACCTGATGACCGCGGCGGCAGGTGCGGCCAGCAGGCCGAGGGCGAGCAGCAGCGGCAGCAGGCTGGGCGTCTGCATGGCGGCGGCGGCCCGGTCGAAGCGGAGAGCCCGGGAGGTCGCGCGCTTATAGCCGGGATGACGGCGCAGTTGGGCTGAGTCAGCTGACCAGCTTGTTTGCACCGGGGCTGGTCACGTGGGCTGAGGCCGGCGACGGGGGGGCGGGGCGGGGCCGGCGCGGGGCGGGGCCTGAGCGATGGGGGCGGGGCCGGGGCGGGCGGGGCGGTTCTGGGCAGCGAGGGGCGGGACCACCCGCGCCTAGGAGCTGCCGCGTCTGCTCGGGCGCGCGGGCCGCCTGTCCCCCGCGGGCCACGTGCCGATCCGGAGAATTGCCACGGCCCTGTTGGGGCAGAAGGGGACCGGGCCTGGCCCTGCTGGACCCCTCAGCCGGGCGAGGCTCCCGGAGCCGCGGCTGCTTCCCCGCCGCGGGCGCGCGGCTCCGCGAGGCTCCCCAGGGCTCCCCAGGGCTCCCCGCTCCACCTCCCTGCTCCCTCCCTGGGCGCGCTTGTCCCCAGCTCTTCCTTCGCCCTGGGAGTCTCCCAGGTGGCGTCTCTGGAGGCTCCAGCCGCCCTCATTCTCCAACTGGCCCACAGCCCTCCCAGCCCCAGCACCGCACCTCAGAGCAGCACCTGGCCTGGCCTGGCCCTGGTAACCCTGGGCGCTCCTCCCACTGTAAACTGGCGCCGTCCCAACCTTCTGGCAAATCTCAAAGGCTGCCCTGGGGAGTGTGTGTGTGTGTGTGTGTAGGGCGGAGGGGACAGCGGGTCACAGTTCAGCCACTTGGATCAGCTTTTACCAGCCTCTGGGGTAGGACGGCGAGTCCCTTGGTCTGGCTAGTTCACGGCCCTCTCTGAGGCCCCAGTGACCCCTCAGCCTGGGAGCTGAGGTCCTGCTGCCCAAGGGGAGGATCAGCTCCATCCTCCACCCTGGTTCCAGCCAAAGAAGGGGGGGGGGTGTTATCAAGGAAAGGAATTCGGACAGGTCCTGAGACGAGGTCAGGGGTCAGAGTGGAGCTCTGCAGGTCACTCGGACATCCAGCCTCTGAGAGGACCCAGCTGGGATGATCTGGAGAGTCTGAGCACCCTGTGGAGCGGGGGAGTGGGAAGGAGGGCGGCAGTGGACCAGCTGGGAGGCTGGGGCTCCCGTCCGGCTGTGGGGACTGGGATGGCCTGGACCAGGCAGCGGCCAAGGAGGCTGTGACAAGCAGCTGGGCTCTGGAGGACTTTTGAGGTTGGATGGGGGTGGTTGTAGGACTTCCTGGTGGATTGGAAAGACGGTGTGCAGCAGAAGGCTCAACACTGACTCGCGTGTGTCCAAACTAGCCGAAAGGACGGCCTGCCACCTGCCGAGATGGAGCAGAAGCAGGAGGAGGGCTGGGGGAGGAAGCCCAGGAACTCCGTTTGTTCGGAGGTTTGTCGCGCTGGGATGATGCGGCCCCGGGGACAGGCGGCGGCACCGCTCAGGCGCAGCAGCTCACACAGTTGGGGGCCGAGGGAAGAGACCCAAGCTGAGACAGGAACTTGAGTCCTCAGCGCTCAGCAGCTTCTGAGCGGCGAGGTCAGACATAACCGCCGGTGACGTGCAGACAGACTGGCCCCCGAGGGCTCCCGGCGGTGTGGGGCCAAGGAATCGGGGGACCAGCAAAGGAGACAGTGGGAGAGGCTGGGAGCAAGAGGGGGGCCTGGACGCCAAATGGAACATGGGGGGTGGCTGCTGACGACGGACCAGGGGGAGGCGGGGACTCGGCAGGGACTTAGCGGCGTGGCCTGGAGGAGAGCAGTGTCAGTGAAGAGAGAGCCGCTCTTGTAAAGGCCTCCTGATGAGACAGTGTGTATTGATGCAGAAAGACAGGTGGATGGACGGGGGAGCAAGAGAGCCTCGCACTGAGGAGCAGGGGGTGACTTCTGTTGCTGTTCAGTCGCTCAGTCGTGTCCGACTCTTTGTGACCCCGTGGACTGCAGCACGCCAGGCCTCCCTGTCCTTCACCGTCTCCCAGAGTTTGCTCAGACTCATGTCCATTGAGTCAGTGACGCCATCCAACCGTCTCATCCTCTGTTGCCCCTTTTCCTCCTGCCCTTGGTCTTTCCCAGCATCACGGGAGGACTTGACCCCTCTCTCACACCGCACACAGCCCTCAGTCCCAGGCGGTAAATTCCAGGTCAGTACTGTTGTGGTTGTACTTGGTCACTCCCTCAGGTCCGACCCTGCAGCTCCATGGACTGTAGCCTGACAGGCTCCTCTGTCCATGAGGTTTTCCAAGCAAGAACACTGGAGCAGGTTGCCATTTCCTCCTCCAGGGAAACTTCCTGACCCAGGAATCAAACCTGAGTCTCTTGTGTGTCCTGTGTTGGCAAGTGGGTTCTTTACCACTGCGTGACCTGGGAAGCCCTCAGGTCAGTTAGGTCAATGGTGAACCCATCAGGGGAATAAGACAAGGAGGCTCCCTTCATGACCTTGAAACCAACACAGATTTGTGGTTTAAATAGAAATGCGTGAAACCCACCAAATCTGTGAAAGAGACAAAGAGTTAGGAGAACAAGAAGAAAGGCCATCGACGAGAAACAGGCCTCTGACATCCAAAATACGTGAAAACTCTTCTTTTTTAAAAAAATGTTTATTTATTGGGCTGTGCTGTGTCTTAGTTTCGGCATGCAAGATCTTTAATTGTGGCGTGTGGGATCTAGTTCCCTGACAGGGAATTGAACCTGTGCCCCTGCACTGGGAGAATAGAATCTTAGCCACTGGACCACCAAGGAAGTCCCCCAAATACCTGAAAAGTCTTAAAACCCAACAATCAACAAGTGAATAAGAACAGACACCTTAGCAAGTGAGAAGTCCAGAGAGCAGGGAAGCCCATGGAGAGACATTCGGGTCTGCAGCGAAATGCATGTTAAAACCGCAACCAGCTACCTCTGCACACCATCAGGAGCGGCCAGACCCTTACAACACCAAGTGCTGGTGAGGATATGGGGCAACAGGAACTGACATCTACCCCTGGTGGGGATGCAAATGGCTCCGCTGCTTTGGAAGACGGTTTAGCGGTTTCTTACAAAACCAAACCTACTCTTAGTATATGACCCAGGAGCCGTGCTCCTTGGAACATACACAAAGGAGATAAAAATGTGAATCTACACAAAAACCTGCCCATGAATGTTTATAGCTGCTTTCTGCTTAATTGCCAAATCTGGAAGCCACTGAGATGCCCTTCAGTAGGTGGATGGAAAAATACACTGTGGTCCATCCAGACGATGGAGCTTTGCTGTCGCTCAGCCGCCAAGATGTATCCGACTCTTTGTGACCCCGTGGACCGCAGCACACCAGGCTTCCCTGTCCCTCACCATCTCCTGGAGTTTGCCCAAGTTCACGTCCAGTGGAATATTATCCAGCACTAAAGAGAAATGAGCTATCAAGCTATGAAAAGACACAGATAGATGCACATTTGTGGGTGAAAGAAGCCAATCTGAAAAGGCTACAGTCTGTGTGGTTCCAACCGTGTGACATTGTGGAGAAGGCAGTCACTGAGACAGCAAAGAGTCAGTGATTTGGGGGTGGGGGAGGGGAGGAGGATCACTGGGGAGACAGCACAGTCCTTACGAGGGCAGGTGAAGGACGCTGCTGATGGTTTAAGGGTGGATACGGGACATTTGGATTTCTCAAACCCCATAGAATGTACAGCTCAAGAATGAACCTGACTGTCAACTATGGTCTTTGGCTAATGATAATGTATCACTATTGGCTCTATAGTAGGAAATGGCAACCCACTCCAGTATTCTTGCCTGGAGAATTCCATGGACAGAGGAGCCTGGCAGGCTACATTCCATGAGGTCGCAAAGAATTAGACACGACTAAGTGACTAACACACATGCACACATTGGCTCATCAATTTTAGCAAATGTATCAATAATGCCAGATGTTATAATAGGGGACTTGTGTGTGTGTCTGTGTGTGCTGGGGAGTGGGTTTATGGGAACTCTTGTTCGTTGTTGTTCATTCAATAAGTTGTGTCTGACTCTTTTTGACCCCATGGACTGTAGTACGCCAGGCTTCTCTGTCCTTCCCTATCTCCTGAAGTTTGCTCAAACTTGTGTCCATTGAGTTAGTGAGGCCATCCAACCATCTCATCCTCTGTCTTCCCCTTCTCCTCCTGCCCTCAGTCTTTCCCAGCATCAGGGTTTTTTCCAATCAGTCAGCTCTCTCCGTCAGTACTTTTGACTCTGGCCAAAGTACTAGAGCTTCAGCTTCAGCATCAGTTCTTCCTGTGATTGATACTACAGGTTAGAACTCTGTGCTACCTGCCAATTTCTCTGTATGTGTAAAACTATTCTAAAAAATAAAGTAGTGATAGAAAAATGGACCTGAAACTCTCGCAACATTGTTAATTGGCTATAGAAACGTTTTTCTTTAACAGAAGAAAATCTTTATGTATTTCTTTTTTCATATTGAATTTATATTTCCTTGATTTCATAGTTCCATTCTACTTCCTTCACAGGATTTTATCTTAGAATATATTTAAAATACTTGCTTATAAAACATAAAACATATTTTTGGAAAAAAAATAAAAACGGGCATCGATCTCTCTCAGGGGAGAAATGATTGATTAGTTTATACCAAGATTAATAACTTCTGTTTCTCAAAATATACCATATTAGGAGACTGAAAGGCAAGTCACAGAAGGAAAAAAATTGTTTTCATTACACAAATATGATGAGCAGCTAGTATCTGAGACACAAAAAGAGCATCAAACTCATAAAAAGACAACCTGATAGAGAAAAGAAAGCCAGGCCAATTGACCTCCGGCACACACGCAGAGAGACCCTGGGTGCCAAACAGACAAGAAAAGGGCTTATCTTCCATGTCATCTGGGAAGCGCCAGTCAAGTTCCAGGTGGAGATCCCACACACCCTCCGGAACGGCTCCAGGGGAAACACGGGATGAGCCAAGTGTGGTTGGGGTGCGGGGCAGGTGGGCACGCCAGGGAACGGGGACCGGCCCTCGGAGGCCGGGTGGCCCTGTCCACTGGGGCTGCTCCCCAGCTGTCCTGGCCAGCGGGGCAGACCCGGCAGAAA